TATATAATTAAATATAAATATATTATATATTAAATATTTGTCCGCCAAATCAAAGGCTGCTTGGCATAATCAACATACAGGAAGCCATTTTGGTGTCATGTGACATGAAAATCATAAAACAGAGAGGGCCCCTTTAGTCCCTCATGACTGTTTCATTATATTTTATTACGTTTACAAATTTACATAGACCTTTATAATGAACAGAAACGTTTTGTTCTGGATTTAAATCTTGAAATTTGTAATTTAAAACTGCATAATATAGAAATGTTTTTTTTAAACATACTTATGAAAAGAATGATTACGTTGTTTACACTCAAGTGTACTGAAGATGCAAGAAAAGTATTTTTGTATTTTTTACACACGTGAAACATATAGTAGGCTATATACTCACATATATCGCCTAAACAATAAACTAAACAGTCTTCTTGTTTAAACTGTAGTAACACTACTATCAACAATATACAAACCAAAGAAACAACAATAATTCTAGTAATAATAATGACTGGTAACGTAAAAAAAATACTTATTGGCTAATAAGCCATTATTACTTCTATGATTAATCATCAAGATCAGAGTAAGTTTTATTTGTGCTTATATAGATTAAATTACAAGGCAGTCTGTTGCATTGACGCTTGATACTTTAGTGTTCTTTTCTTTTTCCAAAGCACAAAACGCGATTATCGAACAACCATGTCGTTTAGTTCATAACAAGTATCTAATCGTAGCCTAATGTATGCAATGTTAATGAGCAATAATGAGGGCGACTGCTCTTTCTGAAAGCCCAGCGTGACACAAAACTCTAACATGCATGAAAAACTATTGTCCTGCCTTTCACGTCTTTCTCTCAAACAGTTAGCCCCTCGTGTTTTTTCGACAGGTCCCAATAATCGAGCCCCCATCAGAACAGCAGATTGGAAGCGCTATTCGGCCGCAGACAACGGCAGGTTAGTGAATCCGCTCTCCGCTCCCAAGGGGTGTCAACGCGGCTGCAAGCTGTCACAACGAGGCGGGGTGCAAGCGCACTCACTTTAGTTTAGAGGCTCATATAAGGATGCCCACTGCGTGTGATGGGGATTTTTCTTTTCTTTATTTAGTCTCTGTGGCAGTCCGTGACAGGGGTTATCTATGGCATGTTTTGAGCTTTATTTGTAAGATAAACAAAAATCAGACCTCTTAGTACAGTGACAACAGGTGCACTAAAGCTTAATGATAAAAAAAAATCAGTTTAAACCTAAAATGTTAAATGAAATTAATATATTATCAAATAACCCATATAAATAACAAATTGCTTAATGGCTGCTTTTTTAAGGCTACTGCACTGCATTGGTTTTCCTTCAATTGTCCAAAGAGTCAAAATCCTTAATGGCTCAAGTAATCTTTTCATTTAAAGACACAGAACATGTCCTTGGATTTACTTGCAAAGTCAAGCTAATATTATTTATTTATTTATTATATGTCATTCAATCAAAATGACTCAAATTACTTTTTATGGTCAGGCCATGTGTAAGCCTGTATAAGAAATGGGTTTAATTATTAAGTAAATACATAAATATAAAATATAATAGTAACAAACATAAATACACTCTTAAAAATAAAGGTGCTTCATGATGGCATAGAAGAACCTTTTTTGTCTAAATGGTTCCATAAAGAACCTTTAACATCTGAAGAACTTTTCTGTTTCACAAAAGGTTCTTTGTGGCGAAAGAAGGTTCTTCAGATTATTAAAAGGTAAGAAAGAGATGGTTCTTTAAAGAACCTTTGACTGAATGGTTCTTTGTGGAACCAAAAATGGTTCTTCTATGGCATTGCTGTGAAGAACCCTTTAAGCTCCTTTATTTTTAAGAGTGTATACAATATAAAAAATACAATATAATATAAACATTTCATATATATATATATATATATATATATATGCAATGTTAAGACTTTGAACTTTTAAAAGCTTCACAATTCTGCAAAAAGTTGTACCGACACCACGTCACAACTTTAATTTATTTTTAAATATTTTTATATGACTTAAAACACTGATTAAGCTTTAGTGATTGACAATGGCCATACAAAATTCTAGAATGCTTCAACCACAGTAAATGTTACACATGTTGGACAGTGCATAGAATGAACAATTAATGCAGAGGACAGAAAATCAGGAGCTTGACACACCAAATGGAGATGCACAGAAACGCCCTCTAAAAATCCGTCTGTCAAACACTTGTATTTAACATACATCCTCTGATTGTTTGAAGATTTGAAGGAGAGACAGAAGAGACGAGTGGCAAGAGGCTTCAAAGTCGTTTGATCTCGCCTCACCTCGGGTGAAAACAATGTTTTGAATTTCATTTATTTATTCTGTTCCATGTTTGTTAAATATATATTTGGATATGTTCAGGAAAGTGGTATGACGTTCCTGGATAAACTTTGGCATCGCTGTCATTTGGAAACATTGAGTAAAACATGCCTTGCGATAAAAAAAGACATGTAGAAGGAAAGAAATTTTGACTTGAGTCAACAAACAAACATTGTTGGGAAAAAAATGGGCACACCCTGGACCAGTCTGCGATGCAAATGATGCACCTTAAAGTCATCAGGTGCGAGATTTGACAGAAAATAATGAGAACCGCTGAATCTTTTATAAGGTTAACACTCACATTTCCCAGTCAGCTGTCGCACAAGAAAGACTTTAGCGCATTCACGCTGGAGAAATATACCTTTATTGGCTCATTAAAGCTGACAGGGGGCTCGGGACCGC